ATATATGCAAAATATAATTTCCACATGATATGGTGATATATTATAGATATATGGTCTTCAAATCATTCCAGAAACTATAAAATATGGCATTAAATGTTCTGTTCACTTAGGGCTTTTCATGAAAATCAGACATATCTGATCCTGGCAGTACCAATTTTCTACAGAGATGATGGGTATTGAAGGAACTCCTTATGGAGGTGCTTTTACTATGGGAAAGCTAGCCATGTGGGCAAGAAACTGCTCTTGCCTGCTACTTCCTGTCAGTATGCTCTATAACATGGACATGCAAAAGCCACAAGAAAGTGACTGCTGAACTTTGCCAAAATAAGTCAGGACAGTCCTTCAAGATTTCTCCTTTACAGAAGGGTCTCCCAGACATTCAGGAGGACAGTCCTTCAAATTTCCTGCTTCACAGACTAGTCTTCCAGGTATTCTGGGCCTGTAGACTGAAGATGAATGCCTCAAATAGTGGAGAGGAACTTTGTGTCTCTCTAGAAAGCAAGATGTCTCTGTTGTTATGTAATAATAATTCCTTCTGGGGTCTTTGATGAAGTTAAAGAATAAATAGTTATGGTTACAGGTGTTCTTAGTGATGACAGAAAGCAAAATAGGTATACAACTTCAGGATCACTAATAGTAGGTAGACAGTGGAAATTCTTACTGAAATTATTGTACACAAATGAATGGTTATTGTAAATGCAGTTCTCACTTGGTAAGTATTTTTTGCTGTGTATAGTTTTACATGTTATAGTTAAAACTTTTCATTTTTATTTAGACATAATGGGGAAATATGGAATATTAACTTGTGATGTGTTGCATTTATTTATACTATTTGACATTTGTTTAATGTTGAAAAGACATATTGAATCCTTTTATGTTACATTATTTTAATTCTGCGAAGCATTGTCACTTGCCTTTCTGGAACACCTGATGGGTCTAATAAAGAGCTGAATGTCCAATAGCTGGGCAGAGAATGGATAGGTGTGGCTGGCCGGCAGAGAGAATAAATAGGAGGAGAACAGGAGGAGGACAAGATTAAGGAACATGAAAATGAGAAGGAGACGCAGACACCAGGGGCCGGCCACCTAGCTACATAGCTAGCCACGGATAGAGAATTAAAGGAAGGAATATAGAAATAGAGAAATGTAAAAGCCCAGAGGGAAAACATAGCTTGGCACATTTAAGTTAATAAAATCTAGCTAGAAAAAAGCCAAGCTAATTCAGGGCATTCATAGGTAATAATCAATCACTGTGTGTGTTCATTTGGAAGCTCTGTGGCAGGCCCACCAAAGAATAAAGAATTAAAAACAAGCAACCATAATTGTTATGTGCTTTAACATAATAATAGTAGTTGATTTTAACTTAGGGTCCATGACCTATTTAATCTCAGGGTGTTGACCCCTTTTGATAGTGTCAGGAAGAGGTTCAATCTCATGTTGTGGGACTTAAATAATTCAAAATGTGGTTGGTTATTTTCAAGGTGTTTGTGATGCCAATATATCTTCCAGGCAGATCAGTGTTATAAGCTTTAGGGTTTGTAGCTGCATGTTATTGACAATTATTTTTCTTCTCTGATAGCATGCAAAATTCCCACAAGTACCATGAATTCTATTCAATAAGGGTGACGTTTTTTGATGGGTCCCAACTTGATTTCTCCATGTTTCATGACATAGTTATTGGTATTCTCAGAAACAGGGCCTTATCTTACTCTATAGAGCAACACATATCCTTAGAAATAGTCAGTCATGTTTGAAGGGATTATGTGCCCACTTTTGTGAATGACTCAATGACATATATACCATTCTTAGCACTGACACACTGGTTTATGGTATAGTTAGATGGGGGTCTCTCGCTCATATTTTGACTCTTTAAATTCCTTTTAAACACACACACACACACATATATATATGTATATATATATATATATATATATATATATATATATATTAGTAAACATCAGTTCTGGTATGTTCCTATGTGAATTTTTAAAATGTCCTTTAGTGTTGTCACTGCTCATATATCATCTTTTACCATTCTCTCTCATCCCTATTCCCATGATATCTTCCTAATTCCCCTTTGTAATCCATAGATACAACTATATTCTATTTTCACCTACTTAGTAGTTCCCCTACCACTGGTTCTTTTACTGGGTACCTATGTTATCTGAGACTTTAAAATCTAATATCCATGGAGGGTGAGTGGAGGGAGTTCTTACTATCCTGATGTAAGATTGTTAGACTACTTTTTAGTAAATATATATTCTCAAGTGATGGGATATCTTCTGTACGTATATCAATTATTGGTTGATTAATATAGCACTGTGGCCAATGAGGCCAAATGATAGGTGGGACAAGGAGACAAGGAGGATACAGGAAAATGTAGGCAGTGTCACTCACCATGTAGGATTCGAGAGGGCAAACAGTTACAGACTCATTCCCTGGTAAGGTAACACCACGTGGAAATATGTAGATTAATAGAAATGAGTTAATAATTAAGACAGAGCTACCTAAATAAGAAATCATAGTCACCAACCAATGATGTCATAATAAATACAATGTTCTTGTGCTGCTTTGGAGCAGAGAAGGGCAGAGGGACCAGACAGAGGAATTTTAGAAACAAAGAATATAGACAAGAATGGCTTTAATTTCATTTTAACGTTAGCAATGTTGCCTAGCAGAAAAAGGTAAACCTTTAGAGTAAAGACAGATTCAGATGAATAAAAACTTCTAAAAGTTTTACAGTGTGTTTAACAATATATGTAGGCTTGTAAGAGAAAAAGGAACAGGATACTGTTTAAAAGAAAAGAAATCGAGTAACTGGGTGTGGTGACACACACCTTTAATTCCAGCACTTGCAAGGCAGAGGCAAACAGATCTCTTTGATTGCAAGATCATCGTGGTTTACAGACTGAATTCCAGGACATGCAAAAGTTACACAGAGAAACACTACCTCAAAAAACAAAGGAAAAAAGGTAAAAGAAATAGAGTAAATAAAATAAAATAATACTATAAAATAATTTTTAAAACCGCATAAAGATGGAAAGTACACAGAGTCTGGATACTTTATGATATTGTGTTGCCTTTGAATTTTTCAGTAGCTGGCAAAACAGCAAAAGCTACTAAAAGATATTTGATTATAAATGCTGCTGGATTAGTTCACCTTATATATTTTAAAATGCTGTATCTTCAAAATTTATGTTCAATGACAGGCTAATTTGGTAAAGTGATTTCTTTCTTCTTTCCACAGAAAATTAAAATGTGTAGATGCCTTCCAGCCAAATATGGATTGATCAAGGAAGACCCCCTGAAACAGTGACACAGGTGATCCAACACTGAAAAACAGCTGAGATGATATAGTCACAGTACACTACAGCCAGGATTTCTGGGTCTTCTTAGGATCCCCACACAGTACCCCAAATAGCAGGAAGCAGTTTGCAAAGAACGATACCCACATTCCCAAACATTATTTATAAATGTTTGTTTTCATTTAGTTTGCATGGGTTCTAAATGGTTAAAGATCACAACCAACCTCTGTCTAAAGGAATAAAAGGGATTATGATATAGAAATGAATAAGCTTGTATTGGAATGGATTTTCATTATTTGATACAAATTTAAGGTCACTTTTGCGATATGTATTATTTCTCAACTGTTTTAGATATTGTGCATATATACCTCATTCAAAAATGTAATGTATAATTAAGTACAGATTTAATATAGTTACATATAATAGACAAAACTGATACTTAGGTAAGTTAGGTTGTCTGGACATATAGGTGATATATTTCAATTGTACAGGCTATGTTCAGACCTTTTAAAGACATACAGAATATGGAATTTAAAATGGTTTAGAGGGTTTTTTCATGAAAATGAGACACAGCTACTCCTGGAAACACCAATTACATCTGGGAGGAAGAATGGGCAAGGAAGAATCCTGCTACAAACTTCACTACAATGATTATCTGGTAAGCAACTTAGGATCACCTTACACTATAATTTCTTGTGATTACAGCAGGAGATGGCTCAATGGTACAGGAAAATGTTGGGACAGTACTTACCACCACCAACAGTGCTATGTGAATTATTAAATTTTCTGGTGACAAGAGAAAGAGAACTTTCACTACTGCAAAGTGAAAATAAATCACAAAGTGTTTAATCACCTCTTGGGCATTGAATACCCTCACAGTGTCCTTTTGTCATCTGAGACACTTTGGAATTCTGTGAAATGCATTAGAAAACCAAAAGTTCTAATTTGGACTCTGAAGAGTGGGAAAATATGTGCTATAGACAAAAACCTCTCCAATCCTACTAGGTAGCACCTGTGTGGTCTTTGGATAAGTCAAAAGAACCAGAAGCCCTCAAATACTGACTCAGAAGCAGGTTTGGCAAATGAAGCAACATAAAGAAAATGTGTTGACACTAGAACACATGTCACCTTGCAAAATGTACTGGGTATTTAATGAATAAAAGTTGATTTGAGTGTCATTATTTTGACCCCCACACAGACACCCATTTTCCTGAGTTTTGTCATTGTTACCTAGAGTATTCAAAAGATACAAATCTATAATGGAAAGAACCCACAATCAGAAAAGAAACGTTTTTCAAATAAAAGTCATTATACCTGGGCCCTTCTTCCCAGAAAATCCTTCTGCATTGTGAGGAAAAAACAAAGCATTGACAGGGAATTGGTGTACATTTCTATGTACCCTAGATTCACAATAGTTTTTCAGAGTGAAAACACTCAACTCATATTTGTGAATAAATGAGTCAGAAAGCAAAATTTAATAATATTTATTAACACGTTCCTGTTTTCTTGCATGAGCTTAACAAATAAAGGTACACAGCATTTGATGTGAGATAATGCACTGTACTAATTAAAGGAATCCTAAAAGATAGTATAGTTTTCCTACATTTTTGGAGAAATATAAAGGAAAACAAAGGCATGACCAACTTACCTCCCAGACTCTAAAACTAATAAACCTCCTATTTCAGGGATTAATGTTTATCTACCCCAAGAAATCAGTGAATGAAACACACAGTCAGCATGTTCTGTTTCAGTTGAGAGAGGGAGGAGGAGGACAAGGACAAGAAAGGAGGACGAGGAGAAAGAGGAAGTAATATAAATGGAAGGCATGTCTTCCTCCCTTTGATACTCTTCCCTTTCTTCTTTTTCTTCTCCTTTCCCTCTCTCTCTTTTATTTCTCAGTTTTATTCCTCATTCTCAGTGACATTGATATCTTCTTCCTCCTCCCTTTCCTCCTCCCTTTCTTCCTCCCTTTCTTCCTCCCTTTCTTCCTCCCTTTCTTCCTCCCTTTCCTCCACAGTTTCCACGAGCACCAACTCCTCCTCTCCATTTTCACCTTCCGTTTCTTCATATATTTCTAGAATTCCATGCACACCCTCTTCCATGTCATCCACCGGAATCAATAAAATCAGGGTGTCCCATGATGTATGGGGCTCCAGAATGTCTTCAATGTCGAGACATGGACAACTTCCGTAGTCAAGCATGATGACCCTTACTGGAGGCTGTAGGAAGAAATATGGGTGAAGCGATCCTAAATGCCTAGGGAATGGAGAAGTGGAGTAAATGGCCTGAGCTGAAAAGTTTACATCTGAATATTCGGACGAAAGCCACCTTGCAGAATTTCTCTGGGGTAAATTAGATACAAAGCAGTACTCATATTTATAGGGGGACCTAAAGCTTTTCCCAACTCTATGGTATGGAATGTTACTAAGAGTTTGAGGTAGAGCATACCTGCAGTGAAACAGTCTTTTCCAGACAAAACGAAGCAGGTTTACAATAGAAATCAAAGTGCCTGGGACTTCGTGTGAAAATTGTGCACATAAATCAAGCCAGTACAAATGCTACCACATATGGAGGATGGGGTTCTAGAGTTCTCTGTCTGAGGAGCTATGGGAGATTGATGGCTGTGAGGGCAAGGAGGGTCTGTTTTATTCAGGATTGCTGTTCCTGAAATATTCCCAACACCAGCAGATGATCCCAAACCTAGGCACATGCAAGCAGCACTAAGCATACTCTGTTGAAAAAGACCACATGTGGATGAGAAGAAAAGGTGGTGAATGGGGAAAGGGGAAGAAAACAGAATAAGGACTGTATTTGACCAAGGCATGCATTAGAAAATAAAAATTGGTACTTGTGAGGTAGTGAAATGAAAAGGTAGAGTGCGTGGAATATCATCTCTAAACAAACCCGTCAGGGTCTATCTGGGAAACAGTCAGGACTGGCTACATATTGTCGAGAATCTGACATTTCTAAGTGAGAGGTGGATTTATTCCTTATGGTGTCGTCAGACCTAACACTTCCCCTTCTGCTGCATTTGGACATGTCTCCTCATAATAAGACTTCACTTGTTTTGTGACATTAAAAAGGAAGTGAGGGTGAATACCTCACTGTGACTCCCATGGTCTTTAAGAGCTGACAGCAAGGCAAGGTAGAGAAGGAGACACCTTCATTTCCAGAAAGGGGAATTATGCCCTCTGCCCAGGGTTTTTCTTAGATCCTGTTAGAACCTGGGACTCCTCTCTCTGCTGCTAGAGATACTGTCCCCACCTCAGTATCAAATATTCACTACCCTCAGAACACACATAACAATGAGGAGTTGGAATGTCTGACCAGTACTGCCTGTCCTTTCCAAGGCAGACAGCAGAGGGTAGATCCTGTCTGGTCTACAGTGTGCTTTCCCTGAGTTTTCCCTCACACTGTTCATCTTTACTCTGAACCATAGAATGTTGATATGATGTCTAATAAGACACAATCTCGCCTTTCTAAGTGATATCTTCACTGTTAAAGAAAGTGATAGTATACCACAACTTGTCTCATTTTACTAGGTCCTTCAATGGCTGAGAACAGAAGAGTTCTGGAGTCTTTAGGTCCATTACTTGAGTTATTTTAGTATTCACCTAGGTCCTTTACATGCAGGTATCTTCTCTATTGAATTGTTGTCACAATTTCAAGAGTCTCTAAGGAAAAATAACACTGACTCCTTAGAAAGGGATGTTTCCTGTGAGCTGGAGGACTGCCCTTAAATATCTATCATGATATTTATTTTTATACTTGGCTTTTCCCCCACCTTTCATTGTCAATTGAATATAAGACATCATTTCTGGAGCAGATATGAAAGCATTACATCTGAAAATTTTTGTTCATATCATCTAAGAACTGACATGAGGGACAGGTGTACTTTGTGTGAGACTCATCTTGTATGGGTTGGAGTCTTTTCTTGGTGACTTGACCTTACTGTGGAGGAGTCTTTTCTTGGTGACTTAACGTTACTGTAGATCTTGACAGATCCTAGAAATTCTTCCTCTGCTCATGTCACATGTGGTAATAAATGTGTTCTTCTACCTCTCAGGATACTTCAGAAAATAGTACAATGTATCAAATATAGTGATTCCCTTACCAAAGTCATGTATACTGTGCAAAAAATTAGACCTATCACAGTACATTCATCTTTAGGATTGCTATGTCTTCTCATAGTCTGGTATGATTATCTGAGTCCTCAGCATCTTGAAATATACCAGCCTGTTAGATTCTGGGATAACTTACTGAAGTAATGGCTTCTCATTCCATCTTTCCATCCTAGACTTTGTCTTCATTGGGATAAAAACATGATGCAGCCACAATCTGTATGATCCTATTTTTCTAATGCAAGGAGTAAAGTTGGAGTGAATGTCCTCAGTTCACCTCTCCAGGAGTCCTTTATTTAACCACAGGGAGAGCCACACTGACCTGCCATTGCTCCTTTTCAGTTGGCTGACTCTCAGAACAACAGCCTCTCTTCATGATTGTCAGAAGGGACTGAATAGATCTGGGGTCTACTCTATGACTTTATTCCACTAAATATTGATACTAATATTTTATCTGAATTATTCCACTAATATTGATACTAATATTTTATCTGAATCCAGTCAGAATGGCTAAGATAAAACAAATCAATTGACAGCAATTGCCTTTAGAGAAGTTGTTGGGGAAAGGGAACCTTCAATCACTGTTGGTGGGACTGCAAACTAGTATAGTCACTTCTAAACTAGGTGTGGAGAATTCTCAAAAACATAAAACAAACAAACAAACAAAAGCCTAACATGTGATCCAAACATGCCACGCTTTGACATATGTCCAAAAGATTGACATTGTACTCCTTAGATACTTGCTCAGTGGTGTTCATTGCTACTCTAACTCTACTTATTTTATTGACTTGTGTTTTTTAAAATTTCATTTATTTTATGTGCATGAATGTTTTGCCTGCATGTATGTTTGTTTACTACATACGAGATGGGAGAACCATGGGGGTCAGAAGACACAATCCCCTAAGACAGTTGTGTGCTGTCTTATGTTTGGTGTGAATTAAGCCTGGGTCTTCTTGCAATAGGAACAAATATCTTTGACCACTGACTCATCTCTCCATCCCCATAACTCTAGCAGTAAAAGGTAGGAAATTGAAACAAAATGTGTATGTGTGTGTTTGTTCATTACCAAAGTGATTAGTTATTAAATCATTAGTATACAAGATGGACTAAGAAGACTGTATTATAAATTTAGGAATATATATGATACAATAAGTAAAGAAATGGAGCTCAGGGACCATGAATTGGAGACAGAACTGTGGGTTTGCACATTTGGCATTAGAGGGAGAAAAAGTAAGGAAAATTGATGTAAATATATTTATGTTTTAAATGAGAATAAAGTTTCACCTCCCTGAGTAACTCAGATGTGGAAATGGCAAATTACCTGCAAACTCCAGAGAATAAATCTTTCAGAAGGTATATGATCAAGGTTGGTCAGAATCCCCTCTCAAAGGAAACAAATAAAAAAATAAATATCCTTACTTCCTTCACACCACAGGATGGAATCCAAGGAACTGCACAGGGCTTGCTGGGTGGGCTTGCTACAAGTGACTGCCGGAAAAGATTAGAGTAGATCTCAGTGGAGAGGAAGTTCACAGTTATCACTTAGCATCATTTCTTTCTCTTCCCAGAATCTCAACATCCATGACTCTCCTCCTACACAACCCACTTCCATTAATATCCCAAGACTGTGAGATTTCCCTCAGTTATCCTCCACCTGAAACTAAGAAAACCTCATCAAATGATGTGACTGACTGTGATGACCCAGGTGGAGAGCCTCACTCTCCTTGGTGAGTGAGTAGGGGGTGGGTTGGAGGGGTCCCTGGGAAGCATGGGAAGATAGGAGCTGGGAGCCTGAGGGGATGGGACCTTTTATATGTAAAATAAGATTGTCTCTAAATTTGAGAAAAACACCCACTAGAGGTTATCACAAAATTGGACCTGTGACTTGGGTAGCTGCCTTGGAAGCCCAGACTCTAGTGCCCCATTTCTATTGCAGATTGGAAGACTAATTCTGCTTAGTCAGGATTCCCCTCACTCTTCCCTCTTCTTTGATCAATATTCTACCTGATAAAATCAAGAAATTCTTTCCTGCTGGCTGGCCTTCCAAACCCAGTCACAAAATGATTCACCATTCTCAGACTCCCAAAATGACACGGGGCAGGCAATACAAGAAAACAGAGTTACACACACACACCCTGGAAACACACACACACACACACACACACACTCACACACACACACACACACACACACACACACACACACACGAAGCTGTGGGGCTACATGTAAGGCTCTGTCTCCTCACCCAGATACAACAGGAGGTACCAATACCATACCTACTGACCTCTAGTCAGTACTGCATATGCCAGAAGTCACTTGGTGACTGACCTGACCCTGTCACAAGACTCCTCACTGTTGTTAAAATGTCTAGGTTTGCACAGCCTGTACTATAATAGAACAAAGAAACCAGCATGGCAACACCCCAAGTTTCTCAGCTTCCCCCAAAGATGATCGACACCCCCAGGTCAGCAGTAAGCAATCTTAAGAACTCAATGTCCTTGATCCAGAACTGCCATGTCTAACACCCCATCTCTTTTTAATCATAAATAAAGGTGGGAATTAAATGTTCAGACATTACGCTGGCCTGCCCTGTTACCTGGCAAGATGCACTCAGGCAGCACTCTGGCCAGCCCAGAGTTGTTTGAGAACCATGCAGGTGCAAAAGGCCCCTTTAAAGGACTGACCCCTGCCTGCTTATGCTCTCTTACACTTTTACTCTCATCTTACTCAACATCTCATCTCTTCTCTTTCTCTCATATCTCTCTCTCTCATATATTATCTCTCTCTCTGCTCTGCACAGGTTGGTTACCTCTCACACCCCTTTCCCTCACTGTCCACCAATAAACTCCACTTGGGATCGTTGAGTCACAGTTTGTGTCTCCATATTGGATAAACTTAAACATCTTAACAACATCGGTTCCCTGCCTGGGAACCTAGACATTTAAACAACACTCACTACCTGACTTCATTATAGCCACACAATGGCACTGGGAAACGAGGAAAGTCTGCACCAGTCCCGGGCCATGCCCTGAACCTGTGCAGCAGGGACTCTAGCTCTAGGCTACAAGGGAGGACTGAAAGGCTCCTCCTCATCCCCCACTATTCCCTTGTGCCTCTTCCCTCTCCCCCAGTAGTACTGAAAGGGCAGGAGTTCCAGAACTGGTCACTAGCTGACTGCCATCTACCACACTCATAGAAAGTCTCAGCATAAGCCAGAAGTCACTTGGTGACTGACCAAGCGCCCCGTCACAGGATTCCTCACTACCTCACTTCATTATAACGACGCAATGGCCTGAGAAAGCAGGACGGGCTGCACCAGTCCCGGACCACGCCCTGAACCTGTACAGCATGGACTCTAGCTCTAGGCTACAAGGGAGGACTGAAAGGCTCCTCCTCATCCCCCACTATTCCCTTGTGCCTCTTCCCTCTCCTCCAGTAGTATCATACTGAAAGGGCAGGAGTTCCAGAACTTGTCACGAGCTGACTGCCCTCCTACCCCACTCACAAAAAGCCTCAGCATATTTTTACTGCCACAATGACCCTAGACAGCCACACAAATCGCGCAGTCACTACCCCTTCACTGAGATAACTGCCTGGGCAGCTCTGACTCTAATGCTCCCTGCGTTTCTATGGAGGAAAATTCCCCTCCCACTTCCCATTTGTCCTCTGCTCAGTATTGCAGAAGTGAAGTCCAGAAATTCATGAAGCTTTGTGGCCTCCCAACAGCCAACTCACTCACAGAAGGATTCACTGTCCTAGGACTCAAAAAATGTCACAGGGAAAACACTAGGAGACTGCTCCAGTCACCTCTGCCACGCCCCCGCCACCCTACACACCCAGGGTAAGTCTGGGCATCTCACACTCTTGCGCCCCCTAGCTGTGGGGCTACATGGAAGGCTCTGTCTCCTCACCCAGATCCAACAGGAGGCACCAACACCGTTCCTGCAGACCTCCAGTCAGTAGTGAATAAGCCGGAAGTCACTCGGTGACTGACCAAGCGCCCCGTCACAAGATTCCTCACTACCTCACTTCATTATAACGACACAATGGCCTAGGAAAGCAGGACGGGCTGCACCAGTCACGGGCCACGCCCTGGTTTATCCTCCTGGGCAGCCCTGAATGCTTGTGCCCCCTGTTTTCAGGGGCTGAATTTTCCATCAGGCACAGTTCCACCTCAGTACTCCACAATGCGGAACATCCGGAATTTCTCACTGGCTAACTGACGTCTAACTCCATGCACAGGAAGCATCCAGACCCTCACACTTGCCATGTGGAACCTAACCACTTCTGCAGTGGCAAATATCGCTGGAGCCACTCAATGCCAGCTCCACGCCCCCTCCGCGGGCCATTGGGATGCCTCTCCTCTATTCCTGTGGTGCAAGAAAAGTCTCTCTTCCTCCACTGTGCCACACCCCTTGTCAGTTCAAAGTCACAAGCCCTGCCACCCAAACTAGGATCCAGTCCCCACATCCCACCCCCACACCCACACCCACACACTTACCTAAAGAAGGAGATGGAGCTGAAGAAAAACAGCAAGCTGTAAACACTGCCAGAGGTTCCGGTCAGAAAAATGGCAGAGGTCAGGCTCTAGCCTCGCCTCTTGTTTGTGAGAAGGACTTGAGCATGCATACCTAGATGATTGTTCAGGTCTAGGGCCACGCCTTCTGCTAAGGTGAAGCCACACCCCTCTGAATCACCTGGTGGAGTTTGGACTCAGGACTGTCTTGGAATGTGCTCGATAAACGCAGTAACACTCCATTGAGAAAAGTAGAGTTTTCCTTCCTTGGCATATATCAGTTGCCAGCAGATTTTTTGTTAGCAATGGAAATTTCTGTCTATTTACCCCTCTTCAGACAGAGACGTTATCTGGATTAAAGTCTGCATGAACTCTGTGATACACATTTGTATCAATCCTGTTGTGTCTGGGGAAAAACACCACCCCTGTCTCTAAAAATCATTCTTGCTCCTCTTCTGAAAAGATTGCCAAGGCTTTATTAGAAGGAACATCATATTCACGTCTTACTACCCCAAAATTCCAACTTTCTCCACATTGGCCAGCTGTGGATATAGATAGCAATATGTCATTAGGAATAATTTTATTGCTTACTGTGGAATATTATTTTCAGATGTGTTACATTTATTTATGCTATGGGACATTTGTTTATTGATGCTGCCTGTTTACACAGACATCCATGGAGAAAGAAGAAAGGCATACAGAAATAGGGAAATATATAAGCTCAGAAGAAGAGAAAAGTTACAGGAGTCAAATTAACATAAGAAAAGCTGGCCAGAAAGAAGTCAAGGAAAGACTGTGCATTTTTAAGTAAAAATAAGTCTCCATGTGTTTTTATTTGGGAGCATAGTGGTGAACCCTTCTCCAAAAAGTAAACAACAACAACAACAAAAGCAACATCATTTTGATGCCCAGCATGGGGTTCAAATTTCAGTTTGAACGTTTCTGTTTACAACAAACCCTTGATCAGCAGGTATATTGAAAAAAAATTGCAAGCCTTTAACCCAAGCACTTGGGATGAAGAGGCAGGTGGATCTCATTGAGTTTGTAAACAGAGCTTGTTCCACGACAGGCTTCAAAGCTACTTAGATAAATCCTGTCTTGAACAAATCAAGAAAAAAAATCATAAAAAATGCTAGGTAAAAAAAACCTACATCAGCAGAAGTATCAGCTTCCTACAGCTGGGAAGGTTAAATATCATAACCAAAATGCAGTTCCAACTCGCTAGCAAGCTTGAAGCTTGGCTTTCCTTACCCAAGAATAGGGAGAAGCTGTGGACAAAGCCACAGGTAGAGGTTCATTCCACTTAGATACTTAGCAATTTAAAGGCTCAGTGGTCGAAAATGCCAAATAATACATAGAAAGAGATGTTCCATTGGGAAAAATTCCTGCAAGCAGGTTGCTGTTTGTTCTACAACGTGCTTAGACTTTTGAAAGAAATAAAAGTGGTATGGAACTTTAGAGAAATAAATACATAGTTTAGCAACACTAAAACTTTAAATAAACAGTAAAAGTAATATAAATGAAAAAGGCCACCTTATATTGGAAATGCCGAGGTATGTTTCTTATCAGTTAGAGGAATAAGTTGTATTGATACATATTTGAATTTATTTTTTGTTCTACTATATGAATGTTTCTACTACAAGGTATTGTATATATGCACTTTATTTTAATGTTTATGGTGAAGTTCTAGGTTTTGAAAGTTTATCATTGTAAACTATTTAGAATAATCAAGATACACAGGTTAGTAGTTAATCTTCTATTAACAATCAAATTTTGTATACTCTAGGTATACTTTCCACATGATATGGTGATATGTTACAGATAAATGGTCTTCAAACCATTCAAGGAACTATACAGTATGGCATTTAAATGTTTTGTTCACTTAGAGCTTTTCATGAAAATCAGACATATCTGATCCTGGCAGCACCAAGTTACTCCAGAGATGATGGACATTGAAGGAACTTCTTATTGAGGTGGTTTTCCATGGGAAAGCTATCCATGTGGGCAAAAACTGTTCTTGCTTGCTACTTCCTGACAGTATGCTATACAAACTGGACATACAGGAACCACAGGAATGTGACTACTGAACTCTGCCAATATAAATCAGGACAGTCCTTTGAGATTTCTGCTTCAAAGAAGTGTCACCCAGACATTCTGCAGGACAGTCCTTCAAATTTCCTGCTTCACAGCTAAGTCTTCCAGTTATTCTGGGCCTGTAGACTGAAGATGAATGCCTCAAATGCTGGAGGAACTTTGGGTCACTGTCTAGAAAGCAAGATGTCTCAGTTGTTAGGTAATAGTAATTCCTTCTGTGGGCTAAGATGATGTTAGAGAATACAAAGACTTACAGGTGTCCTTAGTGATGACCGAAAGAAAATTAGGTATGCAACTTCAGGATCACTAATAGCAGGTAGATAGTAGTGAATTCTTTCTGAATTTATTGAATACAAAAGGAATGGATATTGTAAATGTAGTTCTCACTTGGTAAGTATTTTTGGCTGTGTATAGTTTTACATGTTAAAGTTAAATCTTTTCATTTTTATTTAGACAAAATGGGAAATATGGGATATTAATTTGTGACGTGTTGCATTTATTTATACTATTTAGTTTTTGTTTAATGATGGAAAGACATATTGAATCCTTTCATGTTACAATAGTTTAATTCTGTGAAGCTGTGTCACTTTGACTTTCTGAAACACCTGATGGGTCTAATAAAGAACTGAATATCCAATAGCTGGGCAGAGAATGGATAGGTGGCGCTGGCCGGCAGAGAGAATAAATAGGAGGAGAAAAGGAGCAGGACAAGATCAAGGAGCAAAAAATGAGTAGGAGAGGCAGACACCAGGGGCCACTCACCTAGCTACATAGCCACCCTCGGATAGAGAAGTAAAGCAAGGAATATAGAAATAGAGAAATGTAAAAGCCCGGAGGGAAAACCTAGCTGAGCACATGTAAGTTAAAAAAAATCTAGCTATGAAAAAGCCAAGCTAAGTCAGGGCATTCATAAGTAATAATCAATCACTGTGTGTATTCATTTGGGAGCTCTATGGAAGGCACACCAAAGAATAAAGAGTTAAAAACAAGCAACCATAATTGCTATGTGCTTTAATCACAGTATAGTTTAATATAAAGTTCATCCCATAAAAGAATTGTGGATTCCTAATGTCCTCAAAGTCATTGGTTTGAGATCTTTGTACTTGGATGTTGATCATTTCAACCTCTCTTCTTCACTTGTTCCTTCTTTTCATCTGTTCATTATGTCTTAAAAGCCATCCATCCCTATTGATTATAATATACCTAATCCCAGACTTCAGTATTCTCTGGGAAATTAGATATTTTACCTTTCAATGCACCATACCCCAGTAATGCAGCACATTCCAAAGGGGAAAAATCCAATTCATATTTGGTGAATAAATAAGTCAGTGAGAGGCAGTTTTATTCAGATTTGCTAATATTTTTATTATTTTCTTTAGTAAGCCATGAAATCTAGAAACATTTTATTCAGTTTAATAAAACAAAATAAAATTCTAATGGAATAAAAAAACTATCTTTGAATTAGTGTAGCCAGGACAGTCAAAAACAATAATAAAAGGCTCACAGTATTAGGAAGGTTGAGAACAACGAAGTAGAACAACATGAGGGCAATTCTTCTAATACAGTAACTACAAACAGGTGTGTGTCTTAAGGTAACAATTGCTGAAATGAAATACCATGATGAAAGAAACTGGAGAAGAAAAGAGTTTATTTGGCTAGAGTTTCTACATCATAGTTCATCACCAAAGGAAGTCAGGACAGGAACTAAAGCAGTTCATGGACCTGGAGGCAGAAGCTGATGCAGAGGCCATAGATGGATGCTGCTTCCTGGCTTGCTCTCTAGGGTTTGCTCAGCCTGCTTACTTATAGAATTGACCCTTTGTTAACTGGCACACCTATACATTACTATTAAGCCACAACCTTTCCTTTTTTGTTTATCCCCAAGAACAAACATTAGTATCAATACCACAATATGAAACATTTTACAAACTAAAAACGTCCCATAGTTTCTACAAACTCAAACGCTTTAAAATTCAAATCTTAAAAAACCCAATGTCTTTTAAAAAATCTTAAATCTCCTTAAAAATTCAGTCTCAGGTTTGGAGAGATTGTTCAGTGGTAAAGAGCACTAGTTGCTCTTCTATAGGACCCTGGTTCGAATCTCCAGCACCCACAAAGCAGCTCACAAGTATTACTCCAGTTGGTGATCTGATGCCTTTTTCTGGATTCTTCAAGCTCTGCATGTTCGTGCCACACAGATACACATGCAGGAAAACACTCATACACATAAAATAAAATAATTAATTAAAAATTCAGTCTCTCAATTGTAGGATCCTATAAATTTGAAAATAAATTTTATATTCTTTTATTTCAATAGGGAAGAATCAGGGCACAGTTACAATCTTAACAAAGCAAAACCACATTCCAACTGTGTAAGTAATT